AGACAAGGTCATGCTCCCTCCCCAGGCTTATGTTCTAAGCAGGAGGCAGCTAAGTGAGCAATTATGTCAAGAAGATGATTTCAGGCCAGGCACAGTGGTGGATGCCTGTAATCCCAGCATTTGGGGAGGCTAAGGCCAGAGGGTCACTTGAGGCTAGGAATTCAAGACCAGCCTGGGCAACATAGCAAGACCCCATCTCTACAAAAAATTTTACAAATTAGCTGGGGGGGGTGGCACATGCCTGTGGTCCCAGCTGCTCAGGAGGCTGAGGCAGGAGAACCTCTTGAGGCCAGGAGTTTGAGGTTGCAGTGAGCTATGATCAAGCTATTGCACTCCAGTCTGGGCAACAGAGTGAGACCCTGTCTCTACCAAAAAAAAAAAAAAAAAAGAAAAAAAGATGATTTTAGATTCTGATGTATCTGATAAAGAAGATAATAAACTGATAGAAGGGCCAGGTGCGGTGCCTCATGCCTGTAATCCCAGCACTTTGGGAGGCGAGGCAGGTGGATCACCTGAGGTCAGGAGTTTGAGACCAGCCTGACCAACATGGTGACACCCTGTCTCTACTAAAAATACAAAAATTAGCCAATCATGGTGGTGCATGCCTACAATCCTAGCTACTTGTGAGGCTGAGGCAGAAGAATCGCTTTAACCCGGGAGGCAGAGGTTGCAGTAAGCTGAGATCACATCACTACACTCCAGCCTGAGCAACAAGAGCAAAACTCCATCTCAAAATAAATGAATGAATGAATGAATAAATAAATACTGGTGGAAAAGATATAGAGTAACTAGGTAGAGAAGTCTATTGCTATTAATAATAAAGTACTATTAACTAATTGTTCAAGTCCATCACTCTGCATAGGGGCTCAGGAGAGGCCTCAGAGCAGATAAAACCTGAAGGAGAGGGAGAAGCCAGTGTCTGAATAGCTGGTTAGAGAATATCCCAGGCACAAAGAACAGCAGAGGCAAAAGTCTTGAGTTTGGAAACATGTAGAGTGTCGCTGGAGTGTAAGGAATGAGACTTAGAAGGCCAGCATAGGGACTTTGCACTTTATTCTCTCTCTTTATTTCTTTCTTTCTTTTTTGGAGACCGAGCCTCGCTCTGTTGCCCAGGCTGGAGTGCAGCGGCACGATCTCGGCTCACTGTAACCTCTGCCTCCTGGGTTCAAGCGATTCTCCTGTCTCAGCCTCCCAAGTTGCTGGGACTACAGGTGGCACACCACTATGCCCAACTAATTTTTTTGTTTTTTTGTTTTTGTTTTTGTTTTTTTTTTGTATTTTAGTACAGACGGGTTTTCACCTTGTTGCCCAGGCTGATCTTGAACTCCTGAGCTCAGGCAATCCACCTGCCTAGCCTCCAAAACTCTGTACTTTATTCTGGGAGCAACAAGAAGCCTTTGGAGGGGTCTTAGAAAAGGAGTGAGGGAAGACTCCAAGGACGAGCAAAGGTGGAGGCTCCAGCAAGAATGCAGACATGAGATGCTGGTGGCTCGGGCCAGGGTAGGAGCGTCAGAGGTGGAGACAGGTGAACAGACTAGTCACATCTTGGAGCCCAGTGCGGTATCTCACACCTGTAATCTCTGCACTTTGGGAGGCTGAGGTGGGCAGATCACCTGAGGTCAGGAGTTCAAGTCCAGCCTGGCCAACATAGTGAAACCCCATCTCTACTAAAAATACAAAAATTAGGCCAGGCATGGTGGCTCACACCTGTAATTCTAGCACTTTGGGAGGGTGATCACCTGAGATCAGGAGTTCAAGACAAGCCTGGCCAACATAGTGAAAACCCACCTCTACTAAAAATTCAAAAATTAGCTGGTCATAGTGGCAGGTGTCTATAATGCCAGCTATTCAGGAGGCTGAGGCAAGAGAATCACTTGAACCTGGACGGTGGAGATTGCAGTGAGCTGAGAGGGCACCATTTCACTCCAGCCTGGGTGAAAGAGTGAAACTCTGTCTCAAAAAAAAAAAAAACAAAAAACAAAACTAACTGGGCATGGTGGTGCCTGCCTGAAATCCCAGCTACTCAGGAGGCTGAGGCGGGAGAATCACTTGAACCCAGGAGGCGGAGGCTGCAGTGAGCCAAGATCGCACCACTGTACTCCAGCCCGGGTGACAGAGCAAGACTTCAACTTAAAAGAAAGAAAAAGAGGGAGGGAAGGAAGGGAGGGACATCTTGGAAGGAGAGGGAGTTGACAGGACTCCATTCTCTGTCCTCTGCCACACTGGAAGCTGCAAAAGGCAGCCCTGTCTTGTTCTCAGTGTCCCTAGCCCAGCACCCACCTCGACAAACATTTACTGGGTGGAAAAATGTGGTTTCTTCCTGCTTCCCCTTGTGCCGTTGAGGAAACCCAAGCTCAGGGGTTGAGTAAGCAGCTCAAATCTGTTGGCAGTGGCAGAGCTGGGGTCGGCCCCCATATCCCATTTCACAGCCTGCCCTGGACCAAGCCATTCTGCAAGTCCACAGGCTGAGACAAAAGATGCAGGAAATGGCTTTCTTATCTGAAAACGGGAAAATTGCACCTGACCTCCTAGGGTTATTTTGAGGATTAAATGAGATCATGTATACGGAAAGATTCAACACGGGTCTGGCCCATAAAAGTAGCTCAATGAGGCTGGGCGTGGTGGCTCACGCCTGTAATCCCAGCACTTTGGGAGGCCAAGGCGGGTGGATCATGAGGTCAGGAGTCCAAGACCCACCTGGCCAAGATGATGAAACCCCATCTGTACTAGAAATACAGAAATTAGCCGTGCGTGGTGGCGGGTACCTGTAATCCCAGCTACTTGGGAGACTGAGGCAGAGAATTGCTTGAGTCCGGGAGGCAGAGATTGCAGTGAGCAAAGATCATGCCACTGTACTCCAGCCTGGGTGACAAACCAAGACTCTGTCTCAAAAAAAAAAAAAAAGTTGATCAGTGAATGTTTGCTGTGGATCCTAAGGCTTCAAAGACGATACTGCATGGCAGGGGATTTTTTGTGTTTATGCATCGTTTGATATACTTACTCTCATTCTTTCCTGTTTTTATTTTTAATTTTTTACTATTTACTTATTTATTTTTATTTGATACAGGGTCTCACTCTGTTGCCCAGGCTGGAGTGCAGTAGTGCAATCACAGCTCACTACAGCCTCAATCTCCCCGGGCTCAGGTGATCCTCCTCCATCAAGTGTCCCTCCAAGTACCTGGGAATACAGACACTCGCCACCACGCCACTCCTGTCTTTTTTTTTTTCTGAAGAGACAGGAGTCTCAATATGTTGGCCAGGCTGGTCTCAAACTCCTGGGCTCAGCTGGGCACAGTGGCTCACACCTGTAATGCCAGCACTTTGGGAGGCCAAGGTGGGTGGATCAACTGAGGTCAGGAGTTCAAGAGCAGTCTGGCCAACGTGGTAAAACCCCGTCTCTACTAAAAATACACAAATTAGCTGGGTGTGATGGTGGGTGCCTGTAATCCCAGCTACTCAGGAGGCTGAGACAGAAGAATCATTTGAACCCAGGTGGAGGAGGCTGCAGTGAACTAAGATCGTGCCACTGCACTCCAGCCTGGGCAACAGAGTGAGACTCTGTCTCAAAACAAACAAACAAACGAACAAACAAACAAAAAAACTCCTGGGCTCAAGCGATCCTCCTGCCTTAGTCTCCCAAAGTGCTGGAATTACAGGAATAAGCCACCATTCCCAGCCTCCTCTTATTTTTAATAAACAAAAAAAGAACGACATAAAAACATCAAGAGAGATTTTTTTAAAAAAGCTGCTTACTTTGGAGACTTGAGAACATGCACGTTGGCAGAACAAAGTCTGATGAAGTCCAGCACACCAGTCAACAGAAGAGGCAGGAAGGAATTCTCCCCTGAGCCTTCTGGTGGGTCCAGGCGTCCCTCAGCTTGTGTCTGAAGGCCTCTGCCTCAGTCTTCAATGGGTTTCGCCTCTGTATCTGCCTTTGTTTCTGTGTCTTCTAAGGACACTTGTCCTTGGATTTAAGGTCCACCTGGATAATGCAAGATGACCTCATCTCAAGATCTTTAGTCACATCTGCCAAGACCGTTTTTCGAAATATGGTCACATTCACAGGTTCCTGGGGTGAGGACATGTCTCTTTGAAGGCTTATGTGAGACAGATGAAAACATCCAAGAAAGTTCTTTTTCAGCCAGGAGCGGTGGCTCACACCCGTAATCCCAGCACTTTGGGAGGCCAAGGTGGGCAGATCACCTGAGGTTGGGAGTTCAAGACCATCCTGGCCAACATGGTGAAACCCCATCTCTACTAAAATTACAAAAATAAGCCGGGTGTGGTGGTGGGCGCCTGTAATCCCAGCTACTTGGGAGGCTAAGGCTGGAGAGTCGCTTGAACCCGGGAGGCAGAGGTTGCGGTAAGCATAGATGGCGCCATTGCACTCCAGTCTGGGTGACAAGAGCGAAACCATCTCACCAAAAAAGAAATTCCTTTTTCTTTTTTTCTGTTTTTTTAGAGACAGTCTCACTCTGTTACCCAGGCTGGAGTGCAGTGGCGCAACCTCATAGCCCAAGCAGTCTCGAACTCCTGGGCTCAAGCGATCCTCCCACCTCAGCCTCCCAGGTAACTGGGACTACAGGCATGCACCACCACACTCAGCTAATTTTTGTACTTTTTGTAGAGATGAGGGTCTCACTGTGTTGCCCAGGCTGGTCTCAAACTCCTGGCCTCAAGCGATCCTCATACCTCGGCCTCCCAAAGTGCTGGGATTACAGGTGTGAGCCACCATGCCCGGCCAGAAAGTTCTTTTTCGTAACTTATGGCTAAACCAGAGAGCCTTAGCCGCAACTCCAGAGAAACTCCCTCCTCCCACTTTCCCAAGGGAGCCGGGAATCCCCTCTCTGGTTTCTGCAAGAGGATGGACAGAATGACCTGTTGCTCGCCTCTCCCTTTCGGAGCCCCTCCAAGGAGGAAATGAAGGGCCGACAGCAGACAGTCGGGGGAGGCATCGTCTGTGGTGGTCCCTGCACTGAAGCTGATGCTGTTTCTTATAGGAACTTCACACCCATCTTCTACCCTCATTATGGTAACTGCTACATCTTCAACTGGGGCATGACAGAGAAGGCACTTCCTTCGGCCAACCCTGGAACTGAATTCGGTGAGTTTTGGTTTATCCTGGGGCCAGAGCCATGAGACTTTAACCACCCCCACCATGTGGGACTAAAAGACCGTCAGCTGTTGCAGGGTGGGACTGAGGGGGCACTGAAGCTGGCATCAAGAGGAGTGGCCACTACTGAGGCCCTACTGTGTGCCAGGGGAGGCCAGGCCAGGTGTTCCCTCCCCCAAGGCTCAGAATCCCTGGGATAGCGGCTGGTGTTCCCCTTTTGCTGATGAGCAAAGTGAGGATTTGGAAGCAGCACAGCTTAGTGGTCAAGAGCTCAAGCTTCAGCCAAGCATGGTGGCTCATGCCCATAATTCTCAACACTTTGGGAGGCTGAGGTGGGAGGATTGCTTAAGTCCAGGAGTTCGAGACCAGCCTGGGCAACATGGCAAAACCCCATCTCTTAAAAAAATACAAAAATTAGGCCAGGCGCAATAGCTCACGCCTGTAATCCTAGCACTTTGGGAGGCCAAGGCGGGCGGATCACCTGAGGTTGGGAGTTCAAGACCATCCTGGCCAACATAGTGAAACCCCGTCTATAACAAAAATAAATAAATAAAATAAAATACAAAAATTAGCCAGCCATGGTGGTGAATACCTATAGTTCCAGCTACTCGGGAGGCTGAGGCAGGAAGATCACTTTATCTGGGGAAGTCAAGGCTGCAGTGAGCCATGATCACACCACTGCAGCTCCACCACTCACAGGGCGTTCCTGAGCTCCAGACCAACCTTCTCAAAGCCTTGGTTTCCCCATGCATAGATTAATACATAGTAGCAGAGCAGAGCATTAAAATTGTATCCACATGGTGAGCCATTATGATGAGTAAATAGTATATGCTTTGTGAGTCATTAGGATGTAATGTGATAAACTGTTTCACCCGCCTAGGAAGTAGGAAATGCTCCATATATGCTGGGTATTCTGAGCAGCTTTAAAACAACTTGTCCAGGATCATGCAGTTAATGCATGGACAGAAAGATATCACATGTGCTTACCTGTAAGTGGGAGCTAAATGACGTGCACACGTGGACAGTACGGAAGGATGGACATCGGAGACTTAGCCGGGTGGGGGGTAGGAGGTGGGTGAGGGGCAAGAAATTACTTAGTGAGTACAGTATATATGATTCTAGTGATGATTACACTAAAGGCTAGACTTCACCACTGTACGAAACTCCATGTAACAAAGCTGCGCTTGTGCCCCTTACATTCACACAAATTAGAAAAGGAAAACAAATACATAATGCTTATTCTTAGTCTCTTAGTCCCTCGGTCTCTCTGCGGTACAGTTCTTTTCTTTTCTTTTCTTTTTTTTTTTTTTTTTTTTTGAGACAGAGTCTCGCTCTGTTGCCCAGGCTGGAGTGCAATGGCACGTTCTTGGCTCACTGCAACCTCCGCCTCCCGGGTTCAAGCAATTCTCCTGCCTCAGCCTCCTAAGTAGCTGGGATTACAGGTGCATGTCACAATATCCGGCTAATTTTTGTATTTTTAAGTAAAGATGGGGTTTTACCATGTTGGTCAGGCTGGTCTTGAACCCCTGACCTTGTAATCTGCCCGCCTCAGCCTCCCAAAGTGCTGGGATTACAGACATAAGCCACCATACCCAGCTGTTTTTTTTTTTTTTTGGTTTTTTTTTTTTTTTTTTTGAGTTAGAGTCTCGCTCTGTCACCCAGACTGGTGTGCAATGGCATGATCTCAGCTCCCTGCAACCTCCACCTCCCAGGTTCTAACAATTCTCCTGCCTCCGCCTCCCGAGTAGCTGGAATTACAGGCGCCCACCACCACACTCTGCTAATTTCTGTATTTTTAGTAAAGATGGGGTTTCACCACGTTGGCCAGGAGGGTCTCAATCTCTTAACTTCGTGATCCACCCACCTCAGCCTCTCAAAGTGCTGGGATCACAGGCATGAGCCACCACACCCAGCCTGTTTTGTTGTTGTTTGAGACAAGGTCTCACTCTGTTGCCAGTGCAGTGGCGTGATCTAGCTTACTGCAGCCTTGACCTCCTAGGCTCAGGTGATCCTCCCTCCTCAGCCTCCTGAAGAGCTAGGACTGCAGGTGTGCACCACTATGCCTGGCCAATTTTTGTAGAGATGAGACTTCACCATATTGCCCAGGCTGTCTCGAACTCCTGGGCTCAAGCAATCTGCCCTCCTTGCCCTCTCAAAGTGCTGGGATTACAGATGTGATCCACTGCACCAGGCTGTACAGTTCTTTCTTCTTCTCCTTCTTCTTCTTCCTCTTCTTTTTCTTCTCCTTCTTCTTCTTCTCCT